TCTCAGCTTGGGAACTGAGTGTAACTGAAAACCAATGTCAGAGTGTGGGTGACACCTGCAACATTTCGTCAACACGTCGCCCTCCACGGTGACACGTCGCCTGGTTGAATTGTCTCTTGTCATCTTGCAGCAAATGCCTGAGTGTCCCCAGACACAAGTGTACTCAAGTGACCGACTGGAACTGTGAGGGGAGAGTCTTCACACCCACCGAACTGTCGTGTGCTTTCGTGGTGTGCTAAAGAGATCTATGGCACCCACCTAGAGATGACCATGGGGTCTAGAGATATCGCACCCGGATCCAAAACACGGCGCGTTGGCAGCCTTAAAGGTCGAAGAATGGATGGGTGAAACGGAAAAGGACATTAAGACACATGCCACAAAATCAAAGCAAGAATCATACAAAACCACGGGCTGGCCGGGCAAATAGGCAACAAACTCAAAAGCCCAAGTTGGAAACTACATTTGCTTGATAAACATGTCTAAGAGTTCGAGAAATCTCGACATCCTTCAAGATACCCGTGAACAGGCTGTTTGGTGGATTGGTGAATCCGGATCAGGGCGTAAATACCTTAGGTCACAGCTCCACCATGATCTTTCGATCGTGCTAAGACGTGGACTCCTCCCAAACCCCCACATGCTCTGCCAAAGATGCTTCACAAAGTAGTTCACACGACGGGTTCCTAGCAGAACAAGACTTAGGCGGTGGGAAGCGAGACGGCAGTTCCGTCGTCCGCGAGACAGCGTCCTGCCCTCCAACGTCCAGCCGTTCCCATCGAATAGGCGGCTTCTTGTTACGTTCCGTTTGGGTCGCGATGGCCAGGAGCCCCTATATAGTAGCGTCCGATCGCTCCTAATTACAGTAGTAGTAAGGCCAGGGGCCCCGAGCTAGTAGCGAACCTTATGACTAAATCTGATCTGAAGTTGCACCGGCCTTTTTCTCTCGAAACATATAGTCTGCCGTCGAAAGTGCGTGTTCCCCATTGAAAACCACCGCCTAGACCACCGAGTGTGCATCGAATTGCTTGTTGCAAGGTTGAAAGGCTCTACACATGTTCCATTTGAAATATAGCATCCCCCTTAGATGTTAGGAGCTGCTCGGATGTTTGCCATCGGCTGTCCAACTGTGCCTCTCAAGTGGAACTGAGACGAACATGAAGAATCTTAGAGCAGTATCACTTCGTTCCGCCAAAATCAACCACCTGGGGAATGACTAGTCCTTTTGAGCTGACGCATTCCTTTCCAAATCTCCACTTCAGGGAAGAGTTGCACCAAATGGCTATCCCACAGGTGGCTCTTTAGTCCAAAAGGCGACCACGGCTGTCAACCGGCCTGGTGACCCACACTCAGCGTTGACGTCTCGCCCGCGTCTCAGCCAGTTGCCAGTTGCCCGTCTCAACATGCCACCGACCGTCATGCTCCGAAACCGACCGAGAAAAAGGAACGAAACCACCGAGGGCTCTCCACGCTCCACTCTCCACGCTCCGCTCTCCACACAACACCACTCTCCACCGCACCCGCGGGCTCCGCCTCGTAGCGACTTCCGAGAGCGCCACAGCAGGCCGTCCAGCAAGACGGTCAGCAAGGTCGGAGCTTCGACACCTGGGCGGAGCCGGTGGAGCGGTCCGGTGGACCCGGGGACACCTGGAGCGGTGGAGCTTGGGTGCATGGCTGGCACGTATGACCGTTACAGGATTGAGCTTTGAATGGAGCTTGAAAAGTTTCACAAGATCAGCTTCTACCTGGCCAATGGAAAAGCGCCTCACAATACCACGGCACCACCAGGGCTGCCACATTCATTGAGTCATGTGGAAAAGATCTCACATTTTACAATGAGGTTGGAAGTGGTGTTGGGCTCCTTCAGTGAACCACTATAGTGACAGCTGGCAGGACTGAGTTTAACATGAATTTCCAAGATAAAGTTCTGACAACAACTCCACAAACACGAACAAACATCTACTCTAGGATGACTGTACTGGTTGGTTATGCAATTTTGTTTTACAGCCTCGAACAGATCCGTTCAGAAACTTTCAGGGGCCTGTTGCTACTCCTCTTTGAGTCAACAAAACCTTCAAGACCAGGAAACACAACTGGCGACAAGGGTCAGATTCCTAGCCAACAACATCCAACAACCATAGTGGCATTTCTAGGATCTGAGGGATTCTATCATACTATATACTATATATACTAGATATACTAGATATACTAGATATACATATATTTTTAGTCTAAAATCCTTATGAGCTCTCCCAGCTGTCACAGCTTGAGATTGCTACAGGAAGAAGGACCAACTCTCTGGGACCGTTTCAGCCGACTAGTCGGCCGAGCCAGGGGAGACCAAACCGACCACGACCTCTACAGCGGCCCAAGGCGCAAAGCTTGTGCATCACTTCTGGGTGGCGCCGGAAGAGATCGTCGCCTCAAGACCATCGCCGATCGCCCCTATGGTCGGCACGGAGCGCGGAATGGGCGACCAAACCAAATCAAACCACGAGTTGATGGGCTTCGAGCAAGGAAAATCAAGTCAATGAGATTCATCATTCCGGGCAAGGGTTGAAGGCTTTTTAGTTGTAGGTTAGAATTTGTTTAAAACTCACCACATCTCACAACCAGTTCCCAGTTCGACCTGGGAAAGAATGCAGCAAATTGACCTCTCTGAATCTTCACGGAAAAATAACAGTGAATCTTAGAGCTACTGGTGAAGATGGTAGAATCTTCAGATACGCACATCTCTCCGGCACCAAGTACACCACATCCGTAGTAATAGTTGTCCCGGTCCGCGCGGATGGTGAGCAAGTCCGTGATCATCGCCTCAAAATTGAGACAACCGATGATCGTCTCGAATTGGAAGGAGTCAACCGTCGGTGTGTAGACCAGGTTGGCTCTCTCACCGGTTGGCTTCTCTCGGACTCGGCGTATAGGAACAGCGGTTCCGACCACGCAGCCCAAGCGAAGCGAGGGCGAGGACATCATCCTTTGGAGGAGCACTGGATGTCCCAAAATGTGTGATTCCCCACGGTTGGGTCTTGGCGGGTCTTGGCTCCTTGGCAGGTTCTTTTACAGATAAATGTGGCGTGTTTTCTTCTTCTCTCACGACATCCGATAGGTACCACTGGGTAGAGTGTGATCCAATCCACGTGTGTTTGCCGATTTTGAGGCAACATGTCATACTTGGAGAACCTCTGCATCGGACGTAGTTGTCCAATTGTGGACCCAACCCGAGTTTTCTCTGCACAGGGTGGTCTGAGGAAGGAAGTAAGCTGGAAAGGGAGGCAAGCAGGTCTGGGATACATCGCAGGATCTCCAAACATCGGTGCCCAATGGAGATCCACACACTTGTCTCTTGTGGAGGGACCCTCCACTTCTTTACTCTTTTTCTTCCACCAAGTGAAATGGTGAATTCTGGAGTCAACACCCCAAAACACTCTTTGTCTTGGAAGAGTGAAAGAAGAGTGAAATGGTGAACAAGACCAGAAATCCCACGACCAACTGTGTTGCGTTGGCACTTGCATGTCTGTTGCAGGGGATGGCACCCAAATGGATTGCATCCTCACCGTGCGCGCCGGACAACCGCCGCCCTGCCTTGGCGGAGTTCAAGCTGCCGCTTTCCAGCGCCCAGTACAAGGGCGAGATGGTCTGGGTCCCAACCTCCAAGCAAATCAGGTGCTTGGAAGCGGCAGAAAACTCAAGTTTCATAAAGAATAAGAACAGTATACCATGGATCATGAAGAATGACATATGACATATGGTTATGATGTACCTTACAGCCTAACTCTGAAATCTAAAGGATTCATAAAAAAGCAAAAAGAAATGCAAAACCGCACTCAGAAATGATGAGTAGGAAATGCAAAAAAAAGGCATGAAAAAGGCAAGAAAAAGGCAGCTGGTCAAAAAGAGTGCATATAAAAAAGCACAAAAATTGCAAAAGGAAACAAAACAACAGTTTTAAAAAAAAGCGAACAAAACGCACAAAAAATGCACACGCACAACCAAATGTCACACCACCTTTTTTGTGCGACTTGTTTTCGATGTTTGTGCGTTTTATTTGCGATTTGTTGCATGTTTTTGCATTTTTTGTGCGACTTTTTTGCGCTGTTTTTGCGTTTTCAAGGAAACGCACAAAAAATTTTTAAAAAAAGAACACCAAAAATAGAACGCAAATACAAAGCAAAAAAATGCAAAGGCAAAGACCAGAACGTTTTTGATCGCATTTGTTTTGCTGTTTGATTGCATTTGTTTTGCATGTGTTGTGCATTTTTGTTGCATTTGTTGTGCCTTGTTTGTGCATTTTTGTTGCATTTTTTGTGTGTGTTTTGCATTTGTTTAGTGGACAAATGCGTTTTTTCACATGTTTTTTGCGTTTGTTTGCATTCCAAGGCATCCTTTGGTGACTTGTTTTTGCGTTTTCTGTGCATTTTTGTCGGGATTGGTTTTGCACTATTTTTTGCATTGTTTATGCATTTTTGTGTTTTGCTGTGTCATCAGAACTAGCTTTAGCGTACATCATAAACATATGGATAATATGGAATAAGAACAGTTTCTGGGAAACTCATGGAAACTCAAGGATAAAAAGATATGAAGATCCGCCATACTTTGCTTCTCCCACAGGATAGCCATGTGGAACCCGTCTGGAACCCGTCAATGTTCTCCGGGAGGTGAAGGGTCGCCTTCGGCAAAACGACAGGATGTGTGGTACATCACATCGAATGGAAAACGAAAACGAAAACGATCCAAGCTCATGAAAGGATGTGGGTCCATCCGTCCATCGTCGAAACGCGGGAACAAACATGGATGTTGCCGAGTCGTGCTTAAGCCCAGCAGCTCGGATTTCCAAGAGCTCCATGGCCCGCTTGCCGCGGGGCGCCACCGCAATGGCTTTCTGCAGCGCCTCCCCGTTGAAACCCTTGTTCGGTGGATTCTAGGACATGCATCTTCAAAATAGTCACAGCAAAAGAAACATAGTTATAGGCCCCTTAGGTCCTCAGGTTGGTGGCTAATTAATGGATGAATCAATGAATTATGATGATTTTTTTGGTTGATGGGTTACTAGTTGGCTGGTTGGACGATGTTGGACTCAATGCTGTGACCGGTGTCAAACCGGAGACGATGGTTGGATGAAGAGATTTTTCGTTGTTCGTCCTGGGGCGTCTTCCCGGTTCAAGGCAAGGAGAGGATGGCAAGATAATCCAACATGTGACACCTTCGATTGAATACATCTGTACTGGCTTAGTCGAATAGTCGAATAGATGGAGGATCCATCCAATCCAGGGAGTAGAGACTTCAGAGACTTCACCCCCTACAAAACCTGTTATGGATTGTTATGGAAGGTGAACTGGATATGGTTACCTTGTAGGTATATGTCAAAGCAGCTTCACATCTGCTCGATTGGAACATTCAAGAGTCCATGGTGCTCCCCTTGTTGGAAAGTCGCTTGATCATTGAAGTATCCCTGACCAGAGTGAGCTGAAATTGTTCGTTGCGTTAATTGAGTTGTCATTCTGGTGCGGCTGAAGTCACCGATCTAAGATGGGAGTATCTAGAAAAGATGTCTAGTTTATGAAAGACTATAAAGCCAGTGTAGTATAAAACTCGCGTACATCATGCAGCACATCCACCAGCTTGTTCGAACCGGGTCAAGAAGGCTGGCCATATTCAGAATGTGTTAGAATCATCATCTAGTATCACAAGCACCACCAGTAGTTCTTTACCAAAAAGACTATTCTGAAGGCCAATGGATGTTGAGAACTTGATATAATACTTCCGTAATGGATACCTACGCCTACGACTGTCATCAACATGTCTTGACCAGGTCGTGGACGACCGATTCACTGACAACGACGGAAACGACATAACGGTCGGCTCCCAAAAGCCGACCATATAAGGTCAAGGAAGAACCATCCGACCGCTCCGAGATCACGCTGGCACCGCGATCAGATCCGTTTGCTAGATGGCTCCAACGGATCCATGGCGTTTGGGAGATCCGCGCTCCAGCCGCGCTCCAGTCTTGGAGATCCCATGAGGGCCTTCTGCTCGTTGGTGTTGATGGCCTTCATGACAATGGTGGAGCCTGGCTAAAGAAAGAGCAGATCCATCCGCAGAGTCTAAATTACGCCCATAATTCATGACGTCTGCAAGTGAAGTTGCCGTTTGCGCGAGGTTCGCTAGGTGGTGTCAAACCTCTCAGCATTGTATACAGCAGCCACCTTCTGGGTGACCTACAAGCGATGGACTTCAGAATTGGAGTTGTTAAAAGACCTTCTACTAAACTCTGGAGCCATCTAAACACCGGTCCCTTGACCTTCGAACAGTTAGACCACACCTTCTAAGCACCGTTCGGAACCGGTTCCGAAGACCCGTCGACCGTGTGGTCCGCCTTCAAGGCAGGTGCGGACCAAAATCTTGGAGACCTGGCACGGTCTGCCGTGAAGGGGACCAGCTTGGCTTGGCTTGGGTCTACCTGGGCCCAGTGGATGATGATGGTTAGTAGAGGCCTTCAAAAGTAGTGACAATTGTTTACTGACTGTTACAGGTAATAGGGCAGACCCTAGATATGGCACATTCTGTCACATTCAGCAGGAAATTTCTTTGGATTCAGCCCATGCTTCATGGATCACCACCCTTGTGTCGTGCTACGATATCTGTGCCAGATGTATCCAGATGTGCAGAGGCTGTGTCTATCATTCATTGTCTTACGCAAACTTGCTTGCCTACTTCATCCAAGGGGGTAGCATCTCGGTCACTTGTTCATATCAACAGGCTTTGCCCTGGAGTGAAGGACAGAGCCCAGGAATTGAGCCAAGAGTAGTCTTATATGCCCCTGCAGATTATGGAGACAAACAGAATGTTGCTAGCTACCGATATTAGGTGGAAAGCGTCAATTTCAAAATCCTTCCAATCACTGGCCAAGTCAACGTCCATGTCAGACTCTGTGATATCAGAACCATTTTTCTTCTGTACCTCCAGGGTGAACAATTGACGTTAACATGTTTGATGTCTCTAAATAGGATCGGGAGCATGACAGATCGCCCATCAGATACCTAACTGACCTAACTGCGCCAGCTGTCCGAGAAAAAATATAAAACTTGAGCTGTCCAACAGCATTCACTTGGAACGTCATATACTTTCTGCTAGTGGTTTGGACTCCATGCTTTTGGGAATCAGATGCTTTTGGGAATAAGTCCCGGTTCATGGCTCTTCTATGCTGAGAAACCAAGGTCAAAGACCAGCGGAAGGCACTGGAGGCCGTCTCATCCTCAGCTACCCAACGAAGCAGAAAACCAAAAAAACCAACGATATTGCGTGAAACTGCAAGCCTCCGGATGAGACGGGGGTCAAAACCAGTCCGGATGAGCAAGTTTCAAACATGAACAAATAACTCCAAACGTCTCAACTTCTGGAGAGTTAACCTGTGAAAAGTGTTGGTTGCTTCATGTTCTTTTGTAGCAGATTGTAGTTTCCCACGGGGGCCGATCTACTTCCCACCTTGGTCCAAATCTGTGTTTTTTCGGTGCGCCCATCTTGTTCGGACGAGACGGATGATGCGCAACATGAGCTGCAACCTTTTCCCTGGCACCCTACAGGCATCACGGGATTCCAGCCGAAAAGTTTTCACTGATTTCACCCAGAAACAAATCCAAAGTATTACAGTTTAGTTCGTGCAGGGAATTAGTCCGCCGGATGTCCATTGGGAAAGAGAAGTCATGTCGGTTCTGGAGGGAGGTTGTTACCAAACGTTTTTCCTGCTGAAGTATTCAAGCGAATAATATATAGAAACAAATGCACAACAAAATAGTAAGGCCCCCAACCTGGGCCTTACCCTCCTTTGTGCATCTGTGTTTTCTTCGTTTGGTTCTTACATCTTATTTCGGGTGGTCTATTGCAGTTGTCCTTCACAATTCGCTGAGCGCGGTCAAAACTGCTTAGAGTGACACACTTACCTTCCTGCTCTTTGGTCAACAAAGCCACCCAAGATGTTGGAGAGATGAAACTCGTCACAAAATCAACATAACTTGTCATCTATCGTCATCCATCCATTCTTCGGGAAAACCAGTCACCATAGCTAATGCCCCACTAGCTCCAGCCGCCATAGCCAAGCTTTCCCGACAGGATATCCGGTCAAAAACAACTACAACGCTAAGAAAACAAATCGCCACGAACGCTCCAAGAACTGCTGGGACGAACGAGCTTTTGGGTGTGTAAAAAAACGGCAACCCGGTAGCGACGTTCCGCCGTGGCGGTTGAAGGATGGACTTTGTCGCCCTGGTTCTGCCGGGGTGGAGAAGCCAACTGTGGCTGAAAATCAGTCAAGCAAAGCCTGCTTAAAGGAAAATTGTTCTTCGATGTAGGGAGATATATGTACTTTTTATATACAACTAACAATATAGAATTTATACATATATATTATATATATATGTGTCAAATTTCGCGAGCTAAGGGGGGCACCCCCATACCAGTCACACTAAAAAATATAACATTTTGTGGGGGGGTGAGCGCCCACAACTGACCGCCCACAGTTGTCAGTGCTTAGTTTTTGGCCTTTTTGGCCGCCGTGTGCAAGTCTTCCTCCATGCACCGCTTCTTTGAAGCTGCTTCTGCCTTTTGTCTCTTTGCCTCGAGGGCCTTAGCCCTGTTCTCCTGAACCTGTCGCTTCAGCGCCTCCTCGACCGACTCCTTGTCTGCCACGGTCGTTCCTTCCTGGACCGCGTCCGCCATGGTCTTTCCACCATCCTGGACCATGTCCTTGGTCTTTCCACCATCCTGGACCATGTCCTTGTCGCCCATGGTCTTTCCTCCATTCTCGACGGTCTTTCCACCATCCTCAACCATGTCCTTGTCGCCCATGGTCTTCCGACCATCCTCGACCTTGTCCTTGTCGCCCAGGGTCTCTGCACCTGCGCCAAGAGCTGCTGGGACTGCTTCTCCACGAAAGCCGCTGCCACTGCTTCCCTGCCATGTCTGCTGTTCCTGGCTGAGCCACTGAAGAAACTCCCTCAAGTCTTCTGGAGGTTCGCTCAAAACATCACCACCAAATAGCCATGTGGGCTGTCTCATAGGACCCGTCAACTCACAAAACTCTGGAAATCTGCGGTGGTGCTGACATTCCTGGACTGCCTGGTTCACAGTTGCTGGGTCTAAAGATTGTGCCTCTGTGGCAAAGTTTAGAGCTCTAAAGTTTGAACACTGATATGTTCTTTTCGATTCGATTCTATCAAGTCTGTGTGTCATATCATTAAATGATGATTGGTTTGACCGTTATTCTCTGCATCTTGCATCTTGGTGGTGGAAAGGAAAGCAACTGAGACACCAACCCACCAACCCATGAAGTAGAAGCGCTCATCCGGAAGCAAGGCATGGCGGCTGTTCATCAACAAGATGTCGACCTTGTGAGAGAGTTGATCCAAGGGCGATAGACATGTGACAAAGGGATTGGCATAGCTTGGCGATGGAAGCCAAAAAGTTTGTGAAATGTTATATCGACAGCTGGGTGACTGCAATAGGCATCAATTGGCCAGAGTCCAGAGATCACAACATGTTGTCAATATAGAACTGCCACAAAGAGTGTTTTTTTGGACAATGTTTATGTGACCAATCCAACCAACTCAGCCCAAAACGTAGAATCTGGAGCGGGACAGGGTAGCTGGCGATGGGACTGCCAGCCTCTTATCCACCAGATCTTCCTTGATCTTTTGACCAGTCCAGAAGGTCTGACATCATCTGTAGACCACTTTTTCGAGGCTAAGCTCAGCCCACTTACCCACTCAGGTCTAATTAGGAGTTTTTCAACCATGTGAGACCCTTTTGGTCAGAACGTGGTAAGCTCGAATGGCTGCTGCAGGGTATCATGCCAGACCCCAAATTTGAAGGTCTACTTGGTGTTCCCAGGGTCCCTGCCCTTTAGACTGCGCCGGAACCAGTCCAGCCTGATCTTCTCATTTCGAATTTCTAAATTCGAGCGACATGGGAGGGCGAAGACTTTATGTTCATGGGACAGTTTGACAGTTTGGACCCTGGAAAGAAGACATTATGTTCACTCGACCATTCTTAGAAATTGCGTTCATGTTCCCCTTCCTGAGCAAAGCAACAGGCACATATCCATGGACGCGCCGTCGACCCGAAATGGTGGGACCTCGCCCACCCAAGATAAAGGGTATCAAACTTAAAGGAGGCACTTTTGCGCCGGCTTTAGACACGTGCCCCTTGTAGAAGTTCATTCCTAGGAGGGCAGGTAAAGGAGATCAATGAAATGGTTCCAAAATGGTGTGTCACTCGCTGGCTTCCGTCAAAAATCTTCCATCACAAAATATCTTCTCACTCGCTGGCTTCCATCAAACATCTTCCATCAAAACATATCTTCTCACTTGCTGGCTTCCATCAAAAATAGTCCATCAAAAAATCTCTTCTCAATTGCTGGCTTCGTTCAATTCTGTCACATCACCTCATCAAGGAGGGCAGGTAAAGGAGGAGCAACTTTTCTCAATCTCTTCTCAATCTCTGCGTGTGTGTATTCATGTGCACGCAAGCAGACCAAGCACACAGGCGAGGCACGCGGAGCAGAAGGGCACACCTGACAGTGACAGGAATGTATGTATGTGTAAGACGACCACGCCACGCGGGGCTGGGGGGGCCAACCGTCAGCACGATGTAGACGAGGAGGGGAGGGGACTTAGACCCGGAGAAACGTGGGCGGGCACGGGTAGAGCGGCTCCTCGAAGATCTCCCTTGGAGATTTGTCTCTCCGCCGGTTGTGCAGATCCACTGACAAGACAAGATCCGCCGCCTGGTAGTACCTGGTATGAATCCTGGTACACCGGTGCTGCCGATGGGGTCTGAGTTTCAAGCAAGGAGGACTCCTGACTCAGACTGGCATGTCTGTCGGCCCAACATTTTCGGCTTCCCTGCTTGGAGCATTCAAGTGACTGATGTCCAAGGCCACAACCTTGCTGCAGTATGGGTTGCCGTCGCCACCTTGATCCGATCTTTGCATCCATGTCTTGGGCGATGCCATCGGCGGTCATAAGCCGGTCTGATTCAGATGCTGAAGGCTGAGGTCGACTGTAAGCCCGCGATAGCCTTGTATTGCATGGCCGCAAGGCACGGTATGTAGCAGTTTGGGCCTGCATCCAACATAGCACGCCAGAAGGCCTGAATGTCGTACTGGACCTCACTGTCCAGCTGCAGCGTACGTCGACGCGACGTAGATCGCCGGGCGATCGCAAAGCAGCTTGATGCTCTCGCTGCTATTGTCTGCGTCCAAGATATGGCCATGAAGCGCTGGCCATGACCAGCGGCCAGCCATTCTGATTCTGGCGCTTCTGCTCCGGAGAGATCACTGGCTTCCCGCCACGCTTTGTGACTGCACGAAGCATTTGGCCAGAGTGGGCCGCTGCGTACGCGACTGTATGTAGTCCGTCTCCTTGAAGTCAACTTCGCGATGATGAGTGACGTTTAGGTGTTTAGGCGGTTACCGTAGGGTTTAGTCTTCAACGTCTCCACGAACTGTATGAATGACCGCCAGGAACTCGGTGATCGACAATCAGAAAGGACCAAAAACACGCGCGCTTGATTAATAAAGTAATTTACTGTACTTCGAGTGATCCCAGTGATCCCCACCGTGACATTTCAATCATTTGTCTTCATGCCAATGTGAGGAGCAGCATGTTGCCATGGTCGTGAGTTTTGTGGTTCTCGACTTTGTTTGTGGGTCCTCGGGTTGTGCGCTGTGATTGTCGTTGTGTGTTGTGGTCATGTGCTGTGGTTGTGTGCTTAAAGGTAACATTGTATGCCTTTGTGGTTGTGTGTTGTGGTTGGCGGCCCCGACATCAGATTAGACAGAGAAGCTGCTTGTTTCATCAAGGTCCTCCAAGTGTTTTGATGTCACAGCTGCAGATTCAGTTTCCCCGTGAACTATCAAATAGGTTTCTTTTTTCCTCTTCGGTCCGGTGCTTTTAAGTGTACTTTAGCAGGTCTGGGTTCCTTCTTAGACCGGCCGTGCCAGTGTAGATTCTGCCTTTGGCACTCCAGTAAACCAGCTTGTACCACGTGAAAGTATTTTTTTTGCTACCTGACTGTGTGTTTGTTGTTGTGTGTTGTTGTTTGTTTGTGGTTGTGGCTGGCTTGTGGCTGTATAAGTTGTATATGGAATCCAACGACCCTGACCTGGAGGTAAAAAATAAGCACAAACTGGCCATATGCAGGGAATGTTTTTCGTTGCAGGTGAACGGTGAAGCCAAACACAACAACGAGACAAAGCAAAAAACAACAAACCCAAGCCAAACAAAACAAGCAGCCAAACCTAAACAAAACAAACAAACCAAACCAACACGAAACACACCAAACAAAAACACAAAACAGCCAACCCAGACCCAAACCAAACCGAGCCAAACAAACAAAAAGTACGCAACTAACTTACCAGCCAAACAAACAAAAAACACAAAACAAAACAAAACAAAAGAATCAAACCAAGCCAAACGAAACAAAGCAATCAAAAACACAAACCAAACCAAACGAAGCCAAAAAAATAAAGAAACAACCAATCAAGCAAACATAAAACAACAACAACAACAACAACAGCAACAGCAACAGCAACAACAACAACAAAATACGATCAAGCAAGCAAACCAAAACAAAAACAAACAAAACTAAACAAACCAAACCAAGCCAAGCGAAACAAATAGACAAACAACCAATCAAGCAAACATAAAACAAAACAACCAACCCAAACGAAACAATACAATCAAGCAAGCAAACCAAAACCAAAACAAAAAACTAACCCAAGCAAAACAGAACAAACACAAAAATACCAAACAAACTCAACAAATCAGTCCAAACCAAGCCAAACAAATAAACACACAACCAATCAAGCAAGCATAACAACAACAACAACAACAACAAAACAACCAAGCCAAACGAAACAATACAATCAAGCAAGCAAGCCAAGACAAACACACAACACTAACCCAAACAAAACAAAACAAAACAAACCTATCAGCCCAAGCCAAACCAAGCCAAACAAATAAGAAAACAACCAGCCAACCAACCAACCAAACAAACAAACCAACAGAGCGCAACCAAAACAAATTCCCAGCAGGCCTATAACAATAATATTATCTTCTTCTTCTTTCTCGAACATCTTCAAAAATCGTCAAAAATCATCAAAAATCGTCAAACATCTTCAAAAAATGAGCGTCTTCTCGGCAGTGAGATGGACTGTGAGCTGCCAACTTGAAACCCAGGGTGTCAAGGTTAAAAACAAAATAACGACCCTGGGAACCAGGAGCTCGTGAAATTATATATATATATGTAGTAATAACAATAATACCAATAATACCCAAAAATATATCACAAAAGGAAGATTCCTGAAATTTCCTGATTTCCTACGAACTAGTTCTTGGTCAAAACACGTCAAAACGATTCAACACGCATGCATGTGAGAGAATGCCCAAGAAAACGAGCTAATTGACATATCATCCACTCACCCAGATCCTCAACACCTTGCCGCTTGAGGAATTCGGTTGGACAAATCACCCAATCACTCGGCCCGACCACCAAGCCACGGTGGTGAGGCCAGACATGACCTGTACCGCTGCACTCACCTGTTTGGTCACAGAAACGAACGGACCGCTGAGCCAGCCAAGTTTGTTGCGAACGGCGTACGGTGGAGATCTATTGGTAATTTTGATCCCAACGTTTTTTGTGGGTGCCAACAAATGAAGGCCAAGAGAACTCCGAGAAGTGATTGATGTATGATATCTATACATATACTGTACAAATAAATAAGTATAGATTATATTACTATTATATACAGTATATATGTGTCAATTGATTTACCTGGTGATCACTCTTCTGACAAAATAAAATGCCTTTGGATATGGAACAATCAAAACAAATTGCTGTCAAAACTGATTTTGTTGCAGAACATTGCAGATCCGATGTCCCTTGGTCTACGCTGGAAAAGTGCTGCCGAGGTTGACGGGATGACTGTACGCCGCTAGAAGGCATGCTGCACAATAAAAACAATCCAGTATTTCGCTGAACCCTTCATGACTGTGTATCAATGCAAGTTTTGTTGGGGGCTTGAGTAAAGGAGATTGGAACCAAAATAATTACCAGGCTCGGCATAACTCTCTTGGTTGACCACTGCCATGCGTGGATCCAAGGAATAGCCAAAGGTTTGTACCTTTCTCAGTGTCAAGAAATGCTTCACATACACAACCGAGGAAGCCCCCCTACATTTCTTGGACTGACATTTAGCTTCTGACATTTCGATCCAAGGCTCAAACAAAAACAATTTCAATACAGTATCTTTGTGGGATGCGAGAGCTGCATACAGACTGCATACAGCTGCGCTGCGCTGCTTGCAGCCTCTTACTCTTGCCCAGCTGCGAAGGGTGAAAAGAGCTCCGTGGGGATCTCATAGGCCACGTGACCTGAGACGGTTCTGAGACCGCACGTGGGAGCCAAACAGGACAGGGTCCTACCAAGGCACATGGATCAAAGGCCGCCTGATGGGTGAATCTCCTGTTCAAGTCTCAACAGTTTTACGCAGGAAAAAAAACATATATATATATAAATATAATATACTGTACTCTTATATATTATGCATATATATATATATGCGTGTGTTCGTTTGCTTTTCGCTAGGATCCCTTGGTGTCCTGCTACTGGAATATTTCAACATGGCCCGTGATCCGGCCTATTGCGAAAGTATGTTATGTAAACGTATTCATGACATGCAATGCCCTAAAGTGGGCACACTCCCCCAGCGATCGGAGCTGGTGGTCCTGAATCAACCCTCTCAAGTCTTAAACACCATGTAAAGCCCAAAATTACTACTTCGTGTGAAAGAAAAATACAAGTCAAAACACCAGCACCGGCTGCCAGAACTAAGCCTCCGAACGGAGGCCCAGCGCTGAGATATCTTCGACCATGGTCCGAGGGTCTTTGAAGATGCCCGTGGTCATCTCGATGACCCTGGGAGCAGCGGATTCACAGCATGTTTAACGGCTGCCAGCTGTTCTGGTTGGGGTGGCGGATGCGCTCAAAGCTTTTGTGTGACTGCTGTATTCGATTCTATTGTATACAATATGCTACCATGGTACATAGAGATTCTTCTGTATGCACGTGGAAAGCGAGCAAAGGACAAAACAGGGGAGGACAAAGGAAAAAGGTGAGCTATCTTTTGTCCCTACGGACTGAGGGCTATGGCGGAAAGATGATGGCGAAAAGGATGGACAACATGACTTGCCAATCCGTCTTGCAGATTGAACATGAAAAAGAATACCATCTGAACATGAAACGGCCAATGGAACTGCTGGCTCTGACGGCAAACAAACGCTCCTCATGACTCTACGTCGTTGTAGCGTGAGCGGAAAGTCGGAGTGGTTCCAAGGTCCCAAGCATCCAGCGCAGCGAAAGTCGGAGAATCATGGGCTTATGAACAAACTCTAATCCAGGTTGTGAAAGAAGAAACACATAAATGGTCAACTGGAACGTTAACTGAAAAGAGCGGGTCACGCGTTGGTGAGCTTGTAGGCGCCTAGCTGGGCATTGGATTTTTTTCAGGCCTAGGATGTTTGGTTTCATGGTATGTTGTGATGCTAACCTGTGTAGTTGTATTCAATGAGTGAAACCACCGAAACGAAGTGCTTGAAGGTAACATGATGGAACCAGGGCGCTTGTCAGCGATGAAGAAAAGCCTTGTCGTGGACTGCTTGAAGAAGTCCTTGGGAAGCCAAGGAGCTTGGATGGGAGATGCCCGCAGATTGAATACGAGCATGGGGCTGGGTCAACACCCTCAAGACATAAACAGCCTAAACAATGTCCACAATTGGTGTGCAACCACACCAGCACTTGGACAAGCATGGCCCAAATCCAACCTGAGGATACATGAAGATCCTATATATCAGAGCATGGAGGGCACTATGCATTCAGCAGGATGGGGCCTCTATGGCAGTTCTTTTCTGCAGCAGCTCTTGACCAAACTACCACCTGAGATGATGTACTTATCCTGATCCATAATATGCTTTTGTTATCTTTTGTTTATATACACTGGATATCCAGCTTGAACTACAGTGTATAGATCAAACATCAGTGTAGGTATTCCACTTCTGATTTCAATTCCAAGAACACCTTGTACCAGTGACTCAGTATGGCTTTTCTGCTGCTGTTTGTCCAAAAATGCGTAGCAGCACAGCCTTCACTGCCTGCCTTCACTGCTTTCACCTCCGGTGATCGCGTTCCTCAGGTCTCTAAGCCCATCTAAGCCCTGATGGATTCCGCGCGTAGCGGTCACACCGCTGTGACCTGACCGTGATCTTTTTTCGTCACGGTGAAGAGTGACCTTTCTTCCTTTTCTTTGTTCACTGTTTCTATTAGCAATGTCCTTCAACCTAATAGCAATGGCCTCCAGCCTAAAAGCGATGGCCTCCAACCGAGTAGCGATGGCCTCCAACCTAATAGCTGACCTCCCATCGAAGTCCTCCCATCCCCTCCCGATTGGTCAAAACACCTGTCCCGCTGGAGCCGTGGCGAAGAACCTGAGAAGGGATGGATCCGCCGACTTCGGATCGATGGCACGAATGAACATCAACGCCGACTTCGGATCTTGGGAAGATCAAAGGGATTGTTGATCCATGAAAAACGGTCATCACCATGGTCACTTGCTCTTCGAACCAGGTCAGTGCAGTGCCGGGGACTCTTTGCGGTCATAGTCTTCATATGAAATCAGAGTGTCCACTTGCGGTTCGAGCGGGTGCACTCTCGACCAATTTCACAAGCGACGCAACTGTCAACCTGTTCTCGACTCGTCGAAGAAGAGCGACCGACTGGGGAATGAGTGACTCGGTCTGAGTCAACCTATGTGAACTGGACATACCATTTGAGGTGTGAATTTGTTCGTGGATGACTCCCGGGCAAATACTGCCCAATCGTGGCAATGACCATTCGAGCTGGAAAACCTGTAGGTTGCTTACGTTACTTCGAAACAACCTGTCACTGACGGGATATGTAGAAATCAGTCTTGTGGTTGGGTCTCACATGTCGGATAACCAAAGTGCACACGCGCCAGTCCCGCAAAGGGCCACACAATGATGCCTCAAATGGGTTGCCCAGGTGCTCCGCGTAGATGCCTCTCCGTAAAGTCATCAAGGTCTTCTCATCCAAGGACAACACAAAGTTCTCCAACGCCATGTCGTAGGCCTCACAGCGTGCACTACGCCGTGTAAATCGTCCAGGCTCCATTTCTCCTTTGCCGCCAGAATCAGCCGGAGAATCGGCCGTTGAGCAAACCGGAGAATCAGCTCCCTCCCTATCCCCAGGTCAAGGTACGACGCGGTGTTTTCGTGGGCATCTATTTTGGAAGGCGTATGATGCTTGATCTGCTGCATTCCAACAAACACATTTCTTGCAGCTATACAATGCATTCAAATAATCCACACATCATGTATTAAATGTATGCAACTATATAATATGTGTATACACAGATATACACTGCAGCATCGAACGCAGTCAACACTCGCTTGGTTCTTCCATGTTTTGCATACAAGTTGGGCATGCTGCAACTCCACTCAGCCTTGGGGTTGATTTGCAAGCGCAACATCCGCTCCACGTTCTCCCAAAGCCAATTCCAGGCCACTTCATGGTGCGTATCCCAGTCCTCGCGAATCATTAACACCAATCTCAACACATATTAATGCTCAGATTTGGACCTCGGCATCTACCCAAGTGATCAAGCTGATCGTTCAGAACTCTCCCTGATCCAGGAGCCATGCGCCATGAGTCGGCGAATGTCCAAACCAGTTATCTTGGGAATCTGACCCGGAAAAGTAAAACACATGCACCCCAAAAACAAATAAACCTCTTTCCTTTTTCTAAATCAACTATGACTTATGAACATTTCTGAGGGCAGCAAAACTCAGAAGAGACGTGACCTGGCAAACACACGCACATCAGAAATGCCCGTTTCGGCTGTTTCACCTGTTGAGTTTCTCAGGCTCCTGTGGCAGCAAGGAGCGCAGGGAGGCCAGGGTCACAGCCTTGAACCTCGATGGAATCCATTGCGTTTTGCGGAAGATGCGGTCGGTGTTCTTTGTTCGATCGAACATGAGTTGACCCTAGACTGCAGAAGAAAAAAACGAGTGCAAAAAAAAGACATGTCGTGCAGAATATTGGACATGGCTGGACCATCTCTGGAAGGTGATTGAATGTTTTCCTTTTTTAAATCTTTGGGTCCTTTAAATGAATCCAAATCGATTCCATCCTTGGATCGCCGGGTTTTCGGAGTCCGTGAGTCCGTGACCACCACTCTTCGGAGTCTCTGAGGATTCTGGCGCCGAAACCCGGAGTCTGTGGAGAGAGAGAAGCTGGGGGGAGCTGGGGAGGTTCTCTGGAAAAACAAGTCTAGTCGACTTCTCCTCTTTCCTCTTGCGCCCAACTGGAAATCCAAAACAACCATGGGAAGGGATGGATGCGCCCTGATGCACCTCGAAGGGCAAAAGATATACACATACTACAGGGCAACCAGCCGCGTTTTCGGTGCCACTTCATGGCCGCAACAGGATGCGACACTGGGACTTCCCCAGATGCAAGTGCTCCCGAGGATATCCCAGAAATGACAACTGTTCATGTTCCGATTGAAAGCAACACACATTTTGCACCACAAGACTTGACAGAACATCGAGGTCGTCAGAAAGCCGTGTGTTGCTCTTTGTTTTGAAAGAGCCTGTCCCTCACCCTTTTCCTCGCTTCCTTCCCAAGTGGCTCAGGGAGCTTGATGGGACCTCGATGCCTTGGCAGCAAAACTCGAAGAGCCCGCAAAACTGCCGGAACTGCAGGGGCTCTGATCATGATTTTGAAGTTCATTCGGATTTGGGGCCTTTTTTTTCTGGTGGTTTTCTCGTCATGTGGAAACCTAACCGCTCTGTTGTGGTACGAGTCCAGACTCCAAGCTCGTGGGAGGCTCAGTCCTACCGAACTTGCGTCGATTGGCGTTGCTGCAGTCATATGGAATGGTCGTGTAATGTGGCGTATGATAGTATATAATAATAATCAGATATACATATCTATTATATATATATATATTGTATATATGCACTATATGTATATCTATGATACTTCCCCACCCACGAAACCTGCCAAAGGAGTTGCTGCAGTATGTAATATATCAAACCATGCCATGTCAATCCTGCTTGTTCCTATGAGATTCATCAAACATGAAACATATAAAAAACAGATTTAAAGAACTGGCTAATGCACAGCCTTTCAGTTAGAATGTAACATACTGTGTCTTTGAGTCATGGTTAACCATGCAAGAACTTGCTCAGTAGACAAAGTGGAGATTGAGATAAGTGCATTATTTTCCAATACCCTATAAAAACTACCCCCATGCCAAAGGTAAAGAGAAGTTCGGTGCCACCCATGCCCCATCGCCCCGGGGAGGACGCAGCCCAAAGGCTTGGCCAGGACCAGGGTGAGCACATCACATTCTTCTTGGAGGCGATAAGAGTTCGCCTCAGAAACGATCTGAAACCCACGTGTCGTGCGGGCTTTCTTCATCTCCACCCCTACCAAAGCTCTGGGGCATGAAGCTCCCACAGGTTACCTGAAGTGAAGACCTGCCGTAGAGTGAGAACAAGCCCTAGAATGCGGTAGCATGCGCTAGCTGGTAAAGTATCGTCTTAAAGAATGTTGAGATGCTTAAAGCTTGGGTCAGGTTCTGATTGGTTGACCTCGCAAAGAGGTACATCCTCAATTAAGAAGTCTCTTCCATTAACGAACGTCGTCAATGCCACGGACGCACGTCTGGCACCGAACTCTACTCCAAACGCTATGCGTCCCGTCAAGTCCGCCGTCTGCTTCTGGGACGTTGGTCCATGGGAGGATCCATCTGTAGTCCAAGAGTGGATGTGGCCATCGCCCGAAAAATACATATACAGCTTCACGGCGGACAAGGGCCTACAAGGGCCTAGACGGCCTAGAGTTGGCCTGATTGAAAGGATGAATGACACTACCGTAATGTGGAAGACTTCGCCTTAAGCTTAAAGGACTGGACTTGACTATATATATATATATTCATAAAGTTGAGTGACACGGTGGTTTCTAAGCACACCAAGTCTCGAGAATGGGATCTACCCAACTTCTGAGTGGAGAAAGGCCCATTCTTTGGTGAATGGCTACAACTCATCTATATAGCGAGGCTGAGGGAACACTTTCCAAGGGACCACGTTGGTCACGATGTTGTCGAACTGGTCCAGCACAAGCTGCATCCAAATACCTGCGAGCGCCGATAAAAAGCTATAATGGTGCCCAATAATACGGACTCTCCTGTAGTTTATTCATTGCTTCATCTCAATTTGCGGGTCCCGATACACCACAGGACGCAGAAGATCTTGCGTTGCTGAAAGGACACCGCGAACCCAAGTGGATGGGGGGCGGTCGCCCATCCCGCTCCCACAGCGTCTCCACAACTTTTCTGTTCTGAGGGCTCTGAACTTGAAGATCTGTGCCAAACCATCCCATCCCATCAACCTTTCAAAGACGTTGCCACTAGCTGCAGTACTGCACAGACTGGCTCCATGATCTGCTAATGCAGTGTGGGTCGAAATCAGTCGCCTAAAATTGGCCCAGTCGAAAGGATTCTTGGCCAATGTCCCAGTGGCAAGTGCTTGCCACGAGTGTGAATGAAAGGGATTTTGCCCTTTATGGCCCAAACACCTGTGTTGGCCAGATCTTCTAAGGGACATGAAAAGTTCCGACGTCATCAATGTTGTTGCTAATTGAAGCAGTGCCATCTTCAGAGTACTCCAGAGCCTATCCAACACCACGAAGACTCTTCGGTCAGGCCACTGTTGCTGAAACCCATCACTGCCGCATTGAAGAGGAACATCTCAGCAAAAGTCGTAGGCACCTGACTGAGCAAAAAATGAGATTGAACTATAGAATACTGGCAATTAAACTCATCGTGCAGATACAGCGTATGCATACCATATACCTCTATATACACTAAAAAGCCATCAGCAAGTCTTCGCTCGGTCTATCTGAGCCTACCAAACATATATGCATTGAAAGAGTAGGTTGTCTACTCCAGGGTCGCAGGGCAGGTCCTAGTATATATATATATATATATGTATCGCAACACCTTCGCATGATGCAACATGACGCACCAAACAAAATGCAACCGCACTGGAGACATCATGGTTCCCAAATGTGGGTGGAAAATTGGTCTTGCGAAAGAAGGATGATAATGAATGTAAATGACCTGCCCTCATCCGTCTAACTTCAATTGCATTGATGTTTGGACTGCTCTCTTGACATCGATGAACATGTGTCCTTGTCGAACTTCCTTCAGGCTCTAGGCGCGTTCTTCATTGTCTGGTTGTCCGGTTTCCAACTCGCCTGGGCCCTGTAGCCCAAACACTGGGCCGCTGACATGAAACAAACTCCCCCAACAACACCTGCGAAACAAAAAATAAAAATAAATAAACCGCTCCCCAACACCCGCCACCGCCACCGCTCGCTCCCCCATCCACTTCGCCAATCCGCCAATGGGCGGACTTGCCGACGGTGCGGACTTGCGGGAGAGACTCGGCCGCGCGAGCCTCGCCGGCGGCCGCCTTCCTTTTTTTCTTCCACGGCCGCGTCGCGTCGGCCGCCCGGCGTCGTGGAGGCCGCTCAGGCGTCACCCGCCTCCACCAGGTGCCTGCGGGGCTGATGACCAAAGGTCTGCCCAGTCTCAAGGACGTGGGCTGAGACGTGGAACTGGAGGAAGAAGGTACCCTCCGCCGCGTTCACCTGACGTTGAAAAAGGGAAACTGGTTCTGGCAACGCGCTTTTTGAAATTGGATGGCTATACCATCTTGGTAGTCGCCAAAGCAAGATCCTTTTCTTGACAGACTGGTTTTAGAACCTCGTGGTTCTTCATCTCTTGAGATGGAGAGTTTCACCATCTCACCAAAATAATCCTGGCAAAGCCATGGGCCACAGGCTGGATGAAAGGCTAGAGATCTATGATCTATAAACATCCTTGTTAAACATCAAACAACACTCTGCACAAAGAGTCCGACGATGGGCGTGGAACTTCCTTCACCGACCTCCAGGGTCTCCAAGAGCTCTCCGCTCAGGTTCTCCGCAGGCACCACGTGCCTCACACGGCGGTGTGGGTTCACAAAGGCCGCCTTCTCATCGTGTCTGAGTGGCGGTATGAGAGTGGCGCCACATGGCCCCACGTCCCATTCTTGAGACCCCTTTAACAATATATATATATTATATATATATACACTTATTTGGCATTGGTAGTATATTGGCATATGTTTGGTATACAATATATATATATAATACTATATTATATATATATATGAATCATATTGGTATATTTGGCATGGCTACTAGAGCTTTCTTTTAGGCAAGAGCAAAATGATCCCCCAAGGCCCCTGGATCATATATTAATATATATATATATAGTTGTCCACAAATGCAGATTGACTTGTGGACTCTGCAGTGGCCAGAATAAAAAGAGATACTTATTCCGTCTTCAGGATCCTGGAAGGTCATCCTGAAATACCGCAAGCCAAAGCCAACAAGCATGAAATTGAATCAGCTCCCAAATATTTTGGGCTCCCATGCTTGTTGTCTGGAACTGAGTAACTCTGATTGATCCAAGGATCTGGAACACTTTCGTCTCCCTTGGCCCCAGCTCCACTTCCCGCTGCAACAGAGTCTCGAGCCCATCCTGAGGGATGGATGACTGGGATGAGGAAGCTGGGTTACGGATTCACATGTGACTCAGTGAGTTCACCAGATCTTCAGAATCGAACGGGCGCCTTGGTCAGAACCGCGGGCACCATGAAACGTGACCCGTGACACGCATAGAGTGCGTGCGGAGTGGCAGGGTACAGGTGAACACGCACCAAGTCTATTCAGAACGCCTTGTCCACACCCCTGGAAGCTCAGACCTTCAGCCCCTTCTGCCCCTTCTAATGTGCAGGGGAGGAGAGTGGCCTTTGAAGCTGAGCTAAGGCGCTAAGGTATTGACTCAACACCAACCGGGGACTCTGCTGAAGTTTATCGTCAACTTTGGAGTACCCGTCCGAGCTGCCGGAGCTGCTGAACGTGCCACGGAAAACAAAATCCTTGAAGGACATAGTGAAATAGGTGGCTTTGCCCATTTGAAGTTGGCAAATCCTGTTACTTACAATGTCTTACATTACATTACATATTGTTTATAAATGTTACACAAGAAATACTTTATTTTACGTATGATCATCTTGTATATTTTATAATTGGTGAAAAAACAAGGACAACTGAAGTTGTCGACAATTCGACGTCGCACTTCCCAGCGTCCAAGGGCAGCTTCATGGCATACTTCTTCCGTCTCGTCTGCATGGTAATCACCGGCATTCCCCGATAGTCGCAGCCCAGCGAGGTGATGGCGATCCGCACGGTGCGCTGCTCGGAACCTGCGATCCGCGCGGTTCGCTGGCCCGCTGGGTTTTCTCATTCCACCGTGGCCATCTGTGGAAGTATCTCAAACCAGCGATTGGCCATGGACGTGGCTACCCTTCCTGAGACGAATCAATTACAAGTGGCAACATGATTGGTAGTATCCCAAAAGCTCATGGAGCTATCATCATCATGATCTCTTGTAGCTCATGTTTCACCACTCTCAAAAAGGCTTGGCATGGCTTGGCCATGAAAGTGGGGATAGATGGGTGGCAGAACCAGGTTGGGCAGAGCTTCGATAACTTTGAAGCTAAAGCTTAGCAATGAAGATTTGACTGCGTGCAAGTGAAGAAGTGATCCAAAACCTGTCCTTGACTGGGTGCACATGATGTACCAAGCTAAATGTTCTCGAAATGGTTGCTGAAGGATGCTATGTTAGCCGTTGGCATCATGCTCTTGCCCTTTCGTTTGGAAGGTTCTTTCGACCGGTCGATTTATGGGCGCTTTGCGTTGCGATTCTGCGAAGGGGTCGTGGATGTGGACACATCTACCGTCGACCTCCGACCTCACCCCCACTACTGTTTCTTCAATCAAAGCCTCTACTACAGTAGTGCCTTACAGTGCAACAAAAAACGAGTCTGGAACTACATCGATCATTCAAAGACCTGAATATAGCTGAATATACCTCCCCACCCGGGAAGGTAGGACTTTCAGAGATTCCTTGACTTCCTTGCACGTACATCATATCTGCCGACATCTGAAGGGCAAGCCTGTGTTCGTGAAGGTGATCTGCAAAGGCAAATCATGGTCCAGCTCAATGGTCTTGGGCACAAAGGCACTGAACTCTGCCTGGTCACGGTTCAGTCCGAACTCGTTGGGGCAAATAGCTGGTGTGCAAACGGCAAACCCCCAGCATCCCCCAGGTTGGGTGTTGGTCGATGTTCTTTCTTTCAAGGGGTCGTTGCCTGCCTGGGAGGTCTCCCTACTTGAATGATACACCCAATTGTCAACAAAATAATCATGGATAGGATGATGCAATCTTGGTCATGCGCTTCCCTGTGCAGAGATGTGCCGCTACGTATTAGTCTTTCATGATTTATCCCTGTGTTGTATTGTTGCATGTCTCCTTCTTCTCGGATACGACTCCTTGCTGCCTTCACATCGTCGGAGTCGCCAGTCAACTCATGAAGGCTCCGATGAACCACCTGAGGTACTGTCAGGAAATGGTGGCTCTATTAGATACCTCGTACTACCTGGAACATTTACCCAAGGTACCTCCCATGTCAGGAAAATCACTCCAAACCAACCTGACTTTCTGTGGATTTGACCATCAAACGACACCAAAGACCTCCAGCGAACACGAAACGAGAGTGACTCGCCAACCTGCTTTGCTATCACTTAGGAGTCGAGTCAACCGAAGTTGCTTTCTTCCAAGTTTGTGCCAGCTGGAGGGCTCCAGATTTACATGAAACGTTTATCTATTCTGCCATCAGGCCCTGCATGCTATATAAAGCTTGCTGTACTGGCAGCTGTGGATGTGCACATCACTGAACACACAAGTGTTTTACATAATGTCTTTCAACTGGCTGACCATTTTGTTATGGCCTCAACTGCTGCCCATCTCCCGGAAGAAACGGTTGATAAAAGGTGAAGACGTTCACGATCTCGAAGGTTCGACGAGTCTGACTGCTCTCGTCTGGTTTAGGGTCGCACGGGTCGACCAGTCAGACAACTCGTGCAGGCTGCAGGCTGCAGGCCTTGATGAGGTATGGAAGATTGCACTGTAGGCTAGAGGAAATAAGTGTCCAGTTTCCAGGCGAGATATCGTTGACTCTGCCCACGACACGAGCCTCGGGCTGCTTTCTGGGGTCCCCGCCTGATATGAGCTGTTTCCTTCTTGGAACATTTCATCTTCTTGCTGCAGCAATGATTCTTCATCTGCTCCAGGCTCCTTGGAGATAGAAAGGCACTGGTCACCACCCAATCACCATGCTCTATCAGTTCAAGAACGTCTGGATACGGTCAACATTTATTTGAACAAAACATGTACAGGGACCTGCCCAAGCAAAGAAAGTTCCTTCATGAATTCATTCAAAACCTCTCGGTTTGGAGATCAAAAGGATCGCATCGAACAGTGCAACTCGTCCGGCTCTCTGCCCAGCAGAGCCCTTGGTGTATCCCATCTCACCACGTCACGTGGGTGCGGGACCTGTACCAATCCGAAACCATCAAATCCGAAAAACCATCCCAAAACCAATCGTTCGGTGCACCGGGTCCGAAGGATCGAAATTAGACCAGTCGGACCCGACCTGCCTGTGGAGCTTGAGCTCCTTCGCCAAGGTGCAGCACATTGTGGCTTGGTTTTGGAATAGCCAGCTGCACAGAAAGGCTGGCGGCCCTGACAGATTGGGGCCCGTTAATTTTTGGAGGGTGGGAGTGGAACGCCAGTGGAAAAGGGAATTTGCAGGTGAACAAGTGATCCAATGACCTTCCATTCGCTCTCGCATCTGGTCTAACTAGCTCTGCATGTTGAGGCCCAATCCAGACATATGGAAGAAAAGTGAAAGACTTTTGTGAGAAACTAACACCAAGTCACCTTTGCTCGCTTCTTCCACGTCTATTTGGATGTACCACTAACGAAAATCCGAACACATGAACAGAACAGTCTGCAGATGTTCATCAAAGTGTTTTGGGAGGTCTAAGTGTTGGGCCATATAGCCTATCCATTGGTCTTCCGTCGCCTAGCCATGCGACTTCAGCTAGAGCTGCGGGCGGAACCCTCTCCTCAGCATGTGGGCATTGCTTGTAAGAGGGTGTCAAGTCCAACTCTTCATCCTGACCTGGGCGGGATCGCTTTCTTCGACCAACAACTGTTGGACATGAACAGCAGGGTGCTGTTCATGTGTCAAACAAGATACACTCCGAACTCACTCACATGGAAGGAAAGTAGTCTTCCAAGGGACCGTGTTACTTCCACTTCTAGATATGATGTGTTCGTCAGAGTCTATCTCGTTTAGCCGTTTAGACTCATGAAAAGCCTTAGACTCTTAGACGCCGACAGTCACTTGGATTTTTCCAGCAGGACTTGGCAATTTGTCCAGGCTTCTTGGTGACCACCTTGTAGCCAACGGTGTTGTAGGGATCTCCAAAGGGATCCATGTACCAGCGAATGCCCAGGAACAAGGGGTCTCCTGAAAAAGGTGCAAGGAACGTACCAAAAAAAATCTATACTCCGACTCACTAACATGGAAGTGGCAAACCCCCTGTTCATAAAGGAAAGTACTCTTCCAAAGAACCATTTTCCGCTTCCATCTTAGTGGGTCAGAGTGTAAAAATGTCCTTCTGGATTGGATGCTTCTTGATCATATCGGCTGGCAGCTTTGGACATCTTTCGCATCTGTTGACCGCGAACCACAACGAGGTGTGAGGGGAGCGATAAGAAGCGCTTGGAGGATTAATGTTGGATCACGATTAGTAAACCGGTCGGAAATAATGCTAAAATTTTCCAAAATCATTCAGGACCCCCTGTTTGAAAAAGTGGTCCTGAATAATGCTAAAAAAATTTGGGTGCCCTAATTTTTTTATATTGGAAAACCTGATTCATTAATAAGGATTTGAACTCCTTCTTAACCCTGTCCACCTGCACTCCCCCATACTCCCCCTCCCTTCCCAGGCAAGCAGCCAGCAGCAAAGCAAAACACAGACAACCAAAACTGACAGCTGACCAAAACCACCAATTCCTAATTAAATCCTTTATAAAACATTGCTCCTAAACAAATTTTCAAGGTAGTAGACCA